TAAAATTATATAATTATATCTCATATTTTATATTTTATTATTTATATCTCATATCTTATATCCCGTAACTATATATATAATTCCTAAAAAAATAATTATACTAATAATAATACTAGATTTATATATTTAAAATTATAATTTTAAAGTTTTATAATAATTTATTAAATAAATATTATAATATTAATAAAGCAATATTTTTATTTTTATTTAATTATTTAATAAATATATATAAAATATAAATAAGAAATTTAAAATATTAAGCTTTTTTAAGCTAATATATTAAAAAAATATATACTTATATTTTTATAGCTTTTTATATTTTAGTTTTCTTTTCTTTAACTTTAAATTATTTTTATAAGAAACCTTTTACTTTAATTTTTAAGCTTTAAATATTATATTTATTAAAGGCCTTACTAGAGGGGGGGGAGGAAGAGGAAAGTTATGATTTTTTGGGTATTCTTTGCGTTTTGGGCGCGGGGGGGGAGGGGGCAAGGGTGGGGCTCGTGCGAAAATCAAAAAATCAGAAAATCACTTTTCGCTTGCGCGTTTTGTCGACTAGCCCGCTAATGGCCTCAGTAACTTCTGCAGACCCGACTAAATGGCCAGCGTCTGGGAGAAGTGTTGGAGGTTTATGCCGGTTCTCGAACCTCTGATTGTTGGATAATAGTCTAACCAGCCACCATACATGGTGACAATAACCCGGTATGCCTTCACGAGAACCTGTTAACCACGAAGCGCCACCCCACCATATTTCTTCGAGAATGCCGTCGAGTCTATTCTCAACGAGACGATGTCCGTACGCCCCGAGGCTTCACATCTAGCCCTGATCATCCCAATTCGCAACTTGCTCGCGGCTCTTTAACAACCCAGGTAATTACGTTTTCATGAAGTAGCATGAGGCACAGAGGCAGATGAGACCACGCTATTCTCTCATCCGAACCCAGAAACCATGCTCATCAGGCGGCGTCTGGAAAGCGGAGATGGGATCTATTCTCACTTCAGTAATTCATTCCTCAACCCAATTCCCCTCCAAAGATATGATAAGAGGCAGACTTACCATACTACTCATCCCCAGTCCCAAACTGCGAAGGGGCAGGGGGCCACTCATCCAGATTGGCGCTCAGAGGAGTATGAAGCGTGCCTCCCGGCACCTTCGGAGATCCTCAGGTTCTGGAAGTAAGGGTTATCTGCCGCAGGAACGTCGGAATCAGTGACCGAGATGGAAGACGGGGGAGAGGTTGCGAGGCTTGAGAGTAGAGTGCGTTGCAAGTCTTTGATGAGAATCGAGTACCGCTACCCGCAAAGTTGCCCGAATTCTTCATCTCCAAAGCGCGCAATAAAAATGGTCTTGTGACTAATGGCCATGCCCCTAGGTACATAAAATGTAGATTGAACTAGAACCTGTATTAGATAGATAGCCCAAGACTTGGTATTGGTAAACTAACAATGGCTTTAGCTTGGTCCTTCGGGAAGATTAGAGCTTTGCCCGATTGGATAGACTGCTAAAGAGGACTTGAAAGACTTTATATCCATCTCTCGAGCTCATTTTTGTATTGGCGGCATGTGTTGAGACTAGGCTGCTCTGAAAAATACATATCGCGTAAGATGTTGCCTGATATTATAGCTAAAGTTCTCGCGTCATTTGGACTCATATCCTCCAGGCCCTATCTGAAGTCCGGTTCCTAACAAACCTGTTATTAATTGACGATAACTAACACTGTTTGCCTCTTACCTTAAAAATGGGATCTCGAGAAATACTTTCCTTGATGCGTGGTAATCGGCCTAGGAAGATGGCTACCTAACTTTTAATTGCAGGATAATGAGTACGCATGCTTTAGAACAACAATTCGAATAGGAGATATACCGGTCAAAGGAGATTACGGTGAACCATACGCGTTGCTATTCCTGATACTCATTATCCGACAATTCTTTCACAAGGTTGTGTCCCGTATCTAGCTGAAATCTCTGAGCTCCTCGAATAGCGGCATCTGTCCATTGATAAGCCTTAGATCTCACCCAAAGCTAATTTGCAGCGGAAGGAATGTCTGTTACCAAGGTGCATCCAAACGGAATTCCATTTCGTGGGTGGCTCGTAGATGCAGAGAAGGAGCATTGTCCGCACTACCTATATTGTGCTCTGTGGATTCTCATCAATAGCCTTATTGATGTATTTCTGGTCGATCTCACGGTACGTTGCTCTATCCGTGTCGTACATGTCATCGAATTGCATGCCCACAGCGAAGATCAAGAACATCTGGCAAAACCATGATATGCTAACTAGCGCTGGTTCTTCGTATATAAGAGCCAACTGAGCTTGCACTTCCACTCTGTTATAGACATAGAAGATAGAGTTTTGGTGATCTAGAAATATGTCTAAAAGATGGCGGGAGATGTCCTGCGAGGGCAGGGTATCCCGGTGGATCTTCCGTGCATGATCGGGACCTTGCTCGAGACCTGGCTCTCGGAGGAGATTAGTATCAGACTGTGAACTCGAAAGTCCACTATCAGGGGAAACCTGTGCCCTAATTATAGAGGATATTTCACGATGAAAAGTTGGCAAGCTGGCATGAGGAGTTATTTAGCGCCGACAAGCATTCGGACCGGATGGCATGATCGAAGTTAAGCTGTGTTGGGGCTGTAGTTCTATCAATCGATTGAATCGATACCTTACAATTATGGTATCGATTGTAATCGATTACTAAAACGCCAATCGTTGCCGAGCCTGGTGCCAGATGTGTTTGCACAGTTTACGTGACCATATACATGAAAACACCAATGGCAATTACTGCGTGTCATGCAACTAGCCATCGTGCTAATTCTGGGAGTTCTAAAGCTTATTTCTATTAATACCAGGACCTTAATAGGTTAGGGGCACGCCGTCGCCTGCCGAAGGCGCGTGACAGCGTGCGAAACACATTCACTTGCCCGAGCAAGCTTGGACGCGTGTGCCTTGAGGATATACTTCCTAAGCGATTACAAGGGGCAAGAGAGGGACGTGCTTCTTGCCCGCCTTTGTGCGCATACCGGGGGCTGAAAAATAGCCCAAAAAGAAAGCCTTACTTTATGATAAAATTGCAAAAATTAGCTTGCTAGGCACGGGGGAAGGGGGCTAGAATGGAATCAAGTTCTCAATTATATAAGCGCCCTTTTAGGGCAGCACTGAAAAGGTGCTTACATATATCCTAATCAGAGTTGGCCTCCTGTCATTGCCCTTTTGGGCATATACCCATGTTTTAGGAATGCTACGCGAGCAAAACAGGGGTGTTGCAGGGGTTGGCAGGGGCACACTGATATGATATGTATAAATAGTTCTTCTTGGCAGGCTCGGAGTATAAAATGAGATCAGACTTCGGTGTCGAAATAGCCGGATAGTTCTGGTGCCGTCCTATATTGGAATACGTTGAAATGCCGATGTTCAGCTTCATCCTCAAATAATGCTGCTCCGAAAAACGTTGAGGGGGCGGTGGTCCTTGCTAAGTGTGATTATTAGTCTCCTGCTCCTTCGTGATATGGTGGTGATTGTCGTGGTACGCTGGGACTAATTATCTCAAGAGAACTTATTCTGAGACGATCCAGGGCCGAAAGGTATTGGCTAGGCGGCAGAACTTGATCTCGGGCTGGGGAGTAAAAAGACTTTCTTTCGTGGTTTTACTTCTGTAAAGACACTCCAGTCCCATCTTCTGGCATCGAACGAAGTGAGGTTTTGGCTCATCGCATTTGACATGACGAGTTCCGTCATAGTCGGTTGGTCTTATGTAATATCACTATACTCGAATTGAAATCGAGCCGCTTACTTGCCTGACGGTTGTTAGTAACTTAGCGTCAACCTATGGAGATGTCAGGTCTCGATCTTACACGTTAGAGAGCCAGTCCACACTTTGGGCTTGCTAGCACTCTTTCTCTTCATTATACTCCCATTTGAATGATGTCGGATTGAATTTTGCAAAGCAGAAAGAACCTGAAGATCGAATGAAGGACGCGTAAAATTATGTGGGAACTCCGGCGAGAAGTGCTTACTATCGCCTGTCGTAGTCCTGATAAAGAACCTCTCTCGTTCCACCGGTCCAAATATCACAGCCTCACTTCCTTGCAGACTGGCCGTTTACTTTTGGGGACTGAGTAGCCCTTGTTGAGAATGTAAGAATTTGGTGGCTTATATTTTGAAGGCTAGAATGACCTCACACATTGGCGGTCATTCTTAATATTAACGCCGCTTGCACCCTTTTCTCGGCAAGAAGCAAAATATATCTATCGCTCAATTGTCTACATGGGATTCACCTATTGGAACTCACACCATAGCACCTTAACACTTCTTTGCATCTGTTACTTGCAGCTCGTTGTTCATGTACTTTACCAGGGAAGGGAAGTAAGACGTTCTGGACGAAATGCTCATGATTTTGTTATCACAAGATTAGAAAGGGGCCAGGGTGAATATTCAGGTTGGAAGGGGGCGTTGAATATCCCGAGTTATTATGAGGCATTGAGGAGTTAAAAATTTAAGACATCAGAATTGATTGTCTCAGGCTACTGAGGTACAATTAAAGAGCCAGCCAAGTTTAAGCTCCCAGGAGACCTCACTTACGTTATAAGTTCGCTCATGAACTTCAATTGCAGCGCGTCTTTGGAGAGTGACTTTTTTTTTTACAAACGCCTCATTATATTCCACACCTTGATACAGTCGTTTTATTTGACTTCGGAAGAAATATCTTCGTTCTTTAAATTTTGTGGCGTGTTTCGGGCGAACAAGTGAAGTATTCCCCGAGGATGCACCGGAAATGCACAGCGGCAAAACAGCAACCCCCAACCACTAGAGAACTTGGCAGACTTCTCACAAACGGAAGATGTGATAATGCAAGAGTAAAAGCTGGTCTGCATGCAAAAAACGCCATTCACGTCGACATTGCGCAGTTGGGAAGAATTATTTATGCTAGAGGGTTCCCGGGTTGGACGTACTCAATACCCCAACGTACGAGTAGTTGTTTATATGAAAGGGAGCAAGGGTGGATGGGTGGATGTGAGAACACATATTCGGTGGATATACTACTGATCCTTGAACACGAATGCGGCAAGTAGCTTGTTTTCTAATTCACGGACCGACAATACTTTGTATATCATCTACCCTCCGTGCCTCAATCCACGAAATAGCCTCGTCTCTGTTCCGACACATGTGTGCTTGGCCATCTCCTTTGGCATCCAACACAGACTGTGATCCCTCCAAAGTCATATCGGCCATGCAGAGAATCTGTGTACGGAGGTACTCGAAGCAATGCGCGGCATGGTAGTCATTTCTCTCTCCCCCGAATCCAAATTTGTTGTTCACTACCAGCTGATGATAGGTATCAACGGAGTAATATAACTTTGAGAGTGTTAGTAGACGTCAATTGAGGTTGGGAAATAGTCATACGCAATGAAGTGCATGGGTCCATGATGCTTCGAACAATGGCCCGGTGCGGATTGGGTCGGTCGTTATGGGCTTGCCCAGCATTGGGTGCTGCTCGTAATCTGGGATCGACACACTACCGCTGCCAACGAAGAGGGGGTTAGCATTCGAAGTCAGCCTTCGTAGATAACAAAGCTTACGAGGCATGAGAATATCCCAATTGTGGCGGATGGCCATTCGGTTTACATCTGAGCTCATGTTTGGGAAGTATTTCTCTTCTTCTAGCGTGAGGAGGGTGTACGTATGTGATGCTGCGGCAGAATTAGCGACGCGAAGAGAAGGGTTGAGAGATTTTCTGCTCACTTGGAATATAAAGGCCATTGATGTCACCACCAGTTTCTGTCTTCAACTGCGACCAGCCTCCTCCCATTGACCAACCATCAATCAGCACTCCGCTGGTTGGAAGTAATAGAACTAGTATCAAGCCTTGCAGAAGAACAATTGTTCCCCACCGAGCCCAAGTCAATATAGCCTCTAACCTCGGACTCTTTCCGTGTTTGCTGATTCTCTTCGAATTGTTCTTCCTGAGGAATCCGTCCGAGGCCAGTGTTGTGTCGGAATCATTCTCGAGGTCTGCATCCTCAACATCATCAAGAGATGTGTATCTGCTCTCGTTTGCAGCCATTTCAATACGAAATCAAAAGAATGTTTAGACGCCAGTTCCTAGAAGTGAAAAGAAACCAGTTCTTGGGGAGATCCGAATACCAACAAAGTTCTCGCAATTACAGGTTGAACGGACGTCACACAAGGAGAGTCGTGTCTGAGGACGACGGCACGAAAGTCGTTTTGGCATATCAGACACTGGCCTGTAGTTGCTGACTGGCGTGTAACCTTCGTAGCGTGAGCCACAGGCAGTTTCATCTGTTCTCGCGATGTTGAGACGTCGTCAGAGCGACAGGCAGGTGCAGGCGGGCAACCTGACAAGATCGGATAGCGAGCGGGAACCTGAGACAAGGTTTGCAACAAGGACCCACCCCGCAAGCGATCTCTAACTCCAGGGTAGTGGAGCCGATCTTTTGGGGTTTAGGTCGCTTAAAGTACGGAGGACACAGGGGCTGTTATTGGCTTCGCAACGCACCGAAGATCTTACTGTCAGCACTGTAAGCAAGGTAAAAAGGCCTGGAAATGCTGGCTTCGCGAAGAAGATTAATTGGCTGAAAGAACGACGGCCCGGAGACATCTTCAACCCCAAGAAAAGTATAAAGCTTTGCCGGGAAACAGAAATGTCATGCACTAAGTGTGCACCCAGAACCGTTTCCATTGACTCAGTTCCTGCTTCTTGGAACACCAACTTCCCTTGAAACAATTTTATCAGATCGGAAATGTCCCAAACAATGCAGGAATTTCCGTCAATCACACGCGCCACGATCCACTACTACGACGGCCCCTGCCCAGCCGACCCCCGCACCGGCACCGCAGCAGGCTCCGCGGACAGAGAAGCAAATCCGCAGGTAATGCCCATAACGGACATTCGCTCCTTGTTGTTTCCCCCTCCCCCGGCCTTCACACTCGATATCAACGGCTTCACAGTTGTCAAACACTCTAGCGCACTCTTATCCCGACCTTACTCCCGGGACAGCTGGAATGATGCTTACCTCCGCGAGAGTATCCACTATCCGGAAATAGAAAAAGTGGTGAAGGAGCGGACCGGCGCAAAGAAGGTGCTGGTTCTGGGCGGTACCGTCAGGACGAGGTTATTTAAAGAACCGGAGAGGAGACCTACTCCCCCTCCTTTGCCGGAGGGAACTGTGCCTCTCAACACCAATAAGGGGAATTACCCCGCGTTCAAGGCCGACCGTCCGCGTGTCCATGGTTTTGACAAAGGACAGGAGCAAGGCCCTGCCAAGAAACCTCATATTGATTTTGGAGTTGATGGGGCGAGAGCGACTCTGAGAAATTGGAGGCAAGATATCGCGGATGAGGCGAAAGATATCATCGCTGCCGAAGATGAGGCAGCAGGGTTGCCCGGTGGACTTTGGGAGAATTACAAAGGACGCCGCTGGGGTGTTTTTGGTACATGGAGACCACTGCAGCCGATCAAGCGTGATCCTTTGGGACTTGTTGACTTCCAGACCGTGGACAAGCAAGACCTTGTGTCTTATTTTATGAGACCGCCTGGAATTTATGGGCCATATGAGACTGATATCAAGCTTTCGAAGGCTTCAGCAAAGCATAAGTGGTATTGGTGTAAAGACCAACGACCTGACGAGTTGACAATTTTGAAGTTTTGGGATAGCGAAAGTGAAAAACCTGGATCGAAAGTTGCAGGAGGAATACCTCACACCAGTTTCCACTTGGAAGGAACGGATGATTTACCACCAAGAGAGAGTCTGGAGGTCAGAGTCATTGCATTTTGGTAGGTAGTGCAATTGATGAGTATAGATTAGTTTCAAGTCTATGGTCCTGCTTCTCGAAATTTAATTTGGACTGACGTCTCCTCTCTCCATATTTCCGACTGAATTGTCCAAAGCCCATTCCCTGACTTTGTCGAAGTTTCTGCATTGGTGCCATGAATCAAGTTCCGGCCATGGTAGCGGGTCGTCTTCAAGCAAATAGAAGGTAAACACTCCCACGTCAGCGTTGCACTGAACATTCAATCTCAAGATTTCCAGGCAGTGGTCTTCACTGTTAGCAAAGTTTCCTTGGCCTGTGGCTCGCTTGTACTCACCAGTGTGCATTTGCAGTTCTTCCTCACCAGCTGCAAAGTTTCCGTTGCCCAACTTGGTGTAGTAATCTTTGTATGTCACTTGGCGAAGCAGGTTGATGCAGTGAAGTTGATGGAAGACCTCGAGGCCAACCCTGTATCCTTCAACACCGGTTTTTGGGTGAACAGCTCTCAAGTGAGACTTGGGCATGCCAATTATGTCCAATTCTTCGTTGGTAATGACTTGGTCACCAACTTCAAACTATTAGTCTCTGGTTTGCGATTGCCCGAAGAATTGCGCTTACTGTCGTATGAAATTGCGTGCCACGCTTTGTCAACTTCAGGACCGGACCCAACGTAAGGTGACCCCTCTCCCATTGTGTTGTTGAATTTGACTTTGTTGTATTCGACTGCTTTCGCTGCCGGCGCTGCTCGAGTTGTCAGATACTTTACCACTGAAATGCGTCGCAATTACTTACAATACGCTGAAAACTGCTTCACGTGCAGCAAAGTCGTCGCTCGTGTGAAAAATGCAGAAACAAACATCGTGAATGATAGTGAAAGCAGAGCTGTATGTGCCAACCACATCCATCTTGGGCCGAAGAATCTCCGACTCTCTTGTGGTCTTCTGGAGTCCTCATCATCTTCTAACAAGGTCGAATCTGAAGTAGAAGTAGAAGAACGGCGAGGAAAGGTCTCCTGAAATTTCTCGTTGTCACCAACTGGTTGATATTTTGAACCCATAACTGCTAAAGTTACTCCCGGTAACTCGAGAACTGAGAATAAATGAGTGAATATGCTTGACCAGAAGCAATTGGGGGAGGGGGGAGAAAGGAGTGAGTTTTAGGACGATGCGAGAGGGATATTGCTCCCTGAACCGGTGGCCGCCGCTGGGTGCAGGTGCAACCGACCCCTGAGTATGATCGTCAGTATTGGGGAGTTAAGCGAGGGCAAGGGACAGTTATCAGATCTTTTGAAACGAATTGCTTGGCTGAATGTTTGGAGCTAATGGAACAGCAAATATTTTGGGAAAGCCGGGAAGAATAGGCGAGGTTGTCGTGAAACTGCCACAGGAATCAAATTCGACTCTTCACGACGCCAAGCAGCAGAAAATGGACTGCGATGAACCTGTTAAACGCATCAGCTTGTCGAGCAACAAATCCTCCCCATGATTGAAGAAATTTTCTCGATATTGAAAGCAGAAGCGTCAGAAGAGAGGCTTAGAAAATGGGGAGGATCTGTGATGTATGAGAAATATCCGAAATGTGGGGTTCTCGTTCCAAGTCCCTTGTAATTCCACACCTCTACCGAGCGCTGCTACCCCCCCCGTACTATCCCCCCCCATGAACAATTTCGAGTGGGTCCAATATTCGCCACACTCTCATGCCACGATTCACACCACTAAAGGCACAGGGTCTATAGCGAATAGCGGCTCTCGAAAGCACCTGATATTTCCTAATTCGGGGATACTGACGAAGTTTCAGTGTGGCGTTACCAAAGGACCCACTCGTAATTATTCAAGGGGGGGGATAGTAGGGACAGACGCCACATAATGGTTTCGCCACCAGTGCCCCATGGATCTTTGACAGGCGGCAAACATGCCATATCGGCTGGGCCTTCAGCAATTGAACCTCTGCATTGATGTCTCATCGGCCCTCATGTCCGAAGTGAAACGACAGCCCCACCGGTTAGGCTATCCTTTCCTCACGTGGAATGTCATGGCCCAAACACACGCTGAGCCTCATATCCTCCACGGGGAAGGTGCTGGCGCGCTGTCGGAGACAGTGTTTTATGGGTAATGGAATTCAAGCTGCATAATCTGATTTGACCCTCAGATTTCGCCCGGCGGTATTGACAAGAGGCCTCGATTCTGTAACGTGCAGGATCAAGCTTCTCAGCGGTTCATCAATCTGAATGTGTATCGAAAGAAGACTTGCTCCGGAACCAGCACCTCCTTGTCAACTTTCATCTGAAGATGGGTTAGCACGTCTCATGCAATTGCAGCGGTGGCTTGGGAAATGACCTGATGTATAAAGCTGCGTATGCCGCTCCAGTTATCCATCTCAAACCAGCTCATTCTCACTCTCAGCCCCGTCTTCTCCTTACTTTCTGATTTGACTTCATTCGTTATACTGCCGGCCAGTCATTTTACATTCCTTCACCATGTATACATCTGTTTCAAAGATTTTCGCCTTTGGCCTCTTGGTCTCTGCCCCATTGGCCAATGCCCTTGCCATTCCTTCCCAATCTCAGGACCTGGCCCGCTCTGCCGACTCCCTTGAGGCTCGCCATCACACAGAAGCACAAATTGCTGCAAGTTCTCTTACATCTGTACAGGTTCAGAATGGTTCTAATATCAAGCAGGCCAAGAAAGCAAAGGCTGCAAAGGGTGCCCGTGATGTTGTCATCGAGACCCGCCATCACACTGAAGCTCAAATCGCAGCCAAGAAGGCCAAGGCGGCCAAATCTGGACTTTCTGTCGAGGAGCGTGAGCCTCATCACACAGAAGCCCAGGTAAGCCCCCCTGTTCTCATGGCAGACTTTCCACTTCCTGCCATACATGTTTACTTTCTCGATAATTGTTGAGGGTGGGAGGTCACTTGAAGCCTCTCTATCAAATTAAACGGAATACTAACATGGATTCTCATCAGATTGCTGCTAAGAAAGCCAAAGCCGCTAAGGCTGGACGCAGTGCCTTGACCGAAGAAGAGATCGAGGAAGATGAGGATGACGCTCTCCTGACCAGCCTCGCTCCCGGTGGAGAGATCAGAGCTCGCGAGGCTCACCATACTGAGGCGCAAATCGTGAGTCTTTCCCTGAGACTTCACTTCATCGAGAACAGATTCTAATACACACCAGGCAGCCAAGAAGGCAAAGGCAGCAAAGGCCGGACGAAGCGTTGAGGAGCGTGAAGCTCACCACACCGAAGCCCAGATTGTACGTATTCCTCTGATGTATTTATCTACCCAGAAGAAATTCTAACCGATAACAGGCTGCAAAGAAAGCAAAGGCTGCTAAGGCCGGACGAAGCGTTGAAGAGCGCGAGGCACACCACACTGGTATGTCCCTCAACTCCCTTCCCCGCCCTATCGACTGAAATGAATACTAAATCAATAACAGAGGCGCAAATCGCAGCCAAGAAAGCCAAGGCCGCCAAGTCTGGATAGATTCTTGTTGTACTATTGGAGTCGTATCGTCGTGGAGCGGCTTTAAGGGGGTTCTTCAGAGCTTGGGGCTGAGGCAAGAATCATGAAGCGATAGTGGCTTCTCATAGCACCAATATCTTATAAAAAGGCTTTTGTTGTTGAGTCTCTCCGCCGCGACGTTCTCTCGTAGACCTTATACGTGACATGTTTGGTATCGCAGTGCTGTTCCAAGGGGATGTGGTGACGAGATCCTGCCACGGCAGTTCCAAGGCCACTCTGACGTGATTTTCCAGTCGCTATAGCCTAGTAATCAGCCCCAATGTATTCCCTTCATTTCGCGTGTTGCAATCCCTAGCGCCCGAGGTCGTTTCCGGCCTTGTATGTCGCCCCATGACGGTCCCGCAGAGCCCGGAGCATTGCCTCCCCCCTGCCCGACTTCTTTCCTATATCTGCGGCTTCTCAGCTTCAGCTTCGCGCTCCCTGTTGTCATATGTCGTTGTATCGTCGTTTGATATTCCTGCACCTCGTGCTAGGATTTCGCGATCTCAATGACCTTGTGTCGCACTTCCGCGAGATCCCAGTGATATATGGCCATAGGGGATATTCTGAGTGATCTTCAATTAGTACCTCATGAAGGGATTGTTAAGAAGTTACTTACCGAGCTGTTTTGCTTTATGCATTTATGTTGTTTCGATGAAGGTCGGGCAAAAACATGCTAGCAGGTGCCAAAACACAAGCGAGCGCCCCTGAAATTTTGCCCTGCTAAAAGTAAGCCCCTTTTCCACACCGCTAACGACCCCGCAATTCACCGAAACCCTCACTCGTAGAATCCGAAATCTTCCCATCAACTCAAATAACAAACAATATCCTGTCGGGCGTTATTCACTCTACGCAATCAATCATGGTGATATCGAAAGCGTTCAAAACGCCAGTGCTGGTAGTGAAAGGAGTGGCTTGCACAGGCGCCTCAAGATTCCGCCGAAACTGAGCCGGTGCAAGGCTTGCAAACGCGTCTCGTGAGTCTCTCCCATCATTATACCTATCATATCAGTGTGCCCCTGCCAACCCCTGCAATACCCCTGTTTTGCTCGCGTAGCATTCCTAAAATATAAATATATATCTAAAGCAGTAATTTTTAATCTCGACTCTCTTTTAGATATATAAGTACCTTTTTAGGGCAAATCCAGAGAGGGTGCTTATATATTTGAGAAATTAATTTCCTTCTAGCCCCCTTTTCCTATACTTAGCAAGCTAATTTTTGTAATTTTATTATAAAGTAATGGCTAGTTCCCTAATGTCCTCTGGGCAGTGCTCATGACCGGCATTCTGCTCGGCATCAATGTCGCACTTGGCACCTCCTACAGAGATATCCTCACCGCACCTCCCTACAATTGGTCTCAAGCCGCAGTCGGGTACGCACAATCTGGTCAAATCGCCGTCGCTTTCATCGCACTCCTCGTACTTGACTGGGGAGAGACATCATTGGATGGCTATCATCTTCCCGTACTCGGGTCAATTCTTCAACTTCGTTGGTGCAAGGATTTGTAGCATGGCCGTCCATGACGTACCTGTTTGATTCATATCCAGTTCGCCAGGGTGCCACTCTTGTCCTGGTGTGCCCCCCAAGAGGAGTCATCTCGGTTGGAATGAACTATGGTCTTGCCAGCATGAACGCGAGTATAGGCTATGCCAATGAGTGTGGTGTGTGGGCTAGCTTGACGGGATTCTTTGCCTGCATGGGGGCCCTGGTTTACATTTTTGGCAAGATTATCAGGCAGACTACTGTCAAGTGGGTTGTGGATAAGGAGGGTTCTAGACACATGAGAACTGGATTCCGAAGAGATTCCTAGTCCCTGCACATTTGTTGCTCGAGGTAATGTAGTGGATGGAGTTGGAAAGTGGCGAATGGAGAGGTGTGTCCTCGAACAGGTAATGACTTGACCTGGAGCTTTGCGGACGTTTGTAGCTTGTGCGTTAGTTTGTGGTATGCAATCACACAGCTTCGTCTATAATAACAAGTCAGTTATTGGGGGAATAGTAACGCCGTTGCGTTGCAGCCCAGATTTAAATTGAACAATGTGAGATAATACAAGACGGAGCGCAGCAGACATATAGCAAACCTCGACTTGAGTATGAGGAAAAACATTAAAAAATGTTCCTTTTAAAAATCGCTGATTGTGTGTGATACTGAGCAATATCTTGAGTGAGGGTCATCAAAGAGTACGAACCTGTCATGATCTGTCTACGAAGATTGCGGCATAAAGTAACTGGATCACAGGGCATTTGTACCGCAAGTTCACTAGGTCACTTTCTACCACAATCACCTACTAAAGCCCCCTATATTTCCAGGCTACTCCCCTTTAAGCACGCTGTAAACTATAAACAAGGGGTACTATACCTTTGGAACGCATATCCCCTGTACTTATAGGGGCAGAATTGCTAAAGAGCTATAATAGATATTTCTATAGCGATCGAGCGCTACGGTTACTCTGCCGGTAATACTATAACCCTCGAAGTTTTTCCACGACCTCGTACATGTCCCACAGACTGATTTGGGGCCTCAGGCCTAGAGTTGCCAGGCTTATACCAGGCGTAGTAACTTAAACCACACCCTCGAGTCCGCTAATTCGTAAGATGCCTACGCGAGCGTAAATGCCCAGTAATCCCATCACTTTATGCCGCAATCTTCGTCCTCGAGACAAAAGACCTGAGACTATGCTGGTATCTCGCCTTGAAGCAGCGTCCTCATCTAGCAACCCCCTCACTCGGCGCCCGACTAATCCTACTCCCCGGCAAATTGCCCAAATCCTTCAACAAAATACACAAGTTCTCCACCAACGGTGGCAATCCTTCTTCAAAAACGGGATAATTGCTCCTGAAGATATCCCTCGCCACTCCCAGAACTTTATCCGGTTCCGCCAACGCGATGAGTGACTTAACACCACTTGAATCCCGACCAGGTACACTCAGAAATGGAAAACCTTGTGAGCTAGCGAGGAACAACGTCGACGATGAAGTCTCCTGCTCGTTGAGTATGACGTTCTGGCTGCCAGTGGAGGGTAGATGATCCTCCATAATCGAAACTGCGTGGCCATAAGCCCAGAGCGTGAGAGTAGCGTAATACAGCGCGATGGCATTGAAACCTCGATTTTGCGCTTGCATTAGCCCTTTTGCTGCACGGAATACTTGGCCAGCATGCCATATTGCAATACGAGCTTCTTTGGTCCTGGCCCACGCCGCGAACTCTTCACCCGCCTTGCGCGTCTCCTCTTCGCCGAATTTTCCTGCAAAGCGGTGGAGGTCTTCAAGAGAGATATGGAGGATCATTTGTAGAAACTCGGAAACGAGAATTGCTCTTGTGGAGTTGTTGGTAAGAGATGGGATGAGTAGGGAGAAGGAGGAGAGGTCTTGGTAGAGTTCGGTGTAGGCTGTATGTAGCCAGAGCCGATGCGTGGATTTTGAGGAGGGAAAGAATTTTCGTGATTCGCTGAGAGAGTAGATTTGTCCCCAGTGGCCGTGGAGGAGGGCGACAGTAGTCAAAGGTATATCGGCTTGCGACGAGTATTGGCGCAGATTGGTTCGATGTATTGCATCTGCGAAAGCAGGAACCTCCTGTTTTGGATGGGATGATAGGGACAGATCTCGCCATTCGGGGGCAGTTTTGGCCAGCCAGAGGTTACGGGCAGCTGGCAATTGGAATCTTAATTCAGTCACGGAAATTAAAGGTGGCTTTTGAAGTCCGATTGATGCTTGGATATCATGGATGAAGAGATGAAGGACGAGTCTGTCATGTCATTAGATGATACAGTCCGCAGAAGGAGTGGATATTAACCTTTTGAATGACTCTCTTTCTGCCCACTTCCTCCACTTCGATTCTAATACGGCTTCGGAGTCTTCAGGTCGAGGGTCTGCGGACGACTGGTTTGCTGCTGGAGCAAATGCACCAGCTCGGCGTAACATCTGTCTACAGTAAATATCATTTGAACTAGGGAGATGGAGGGGCAATTTACTCACAATGATGATAGGTTGAGCAAAACTCTCAGCTATCTCCATTTTCCTTTTGAATCCAGACCAAAGTCCGATATCTAAACCAATCATGAAAGCCTGGATAGCCTGCAAGTTTCGTGTGTGAGAGTTGTCTTCCTCCCACTACTCTTTCTTCAGCAAGACCATTATTTACCCCAGGGATGGGAACTCACATAATTTGCAACGCTGTGTCGCACCACCTCTTGAAGAGCAAGACCCATTTTCCATATTGCAGGGGTAGAAATTAAACTTGACCCCGCCGCCACTATGGCAGTGTGAAGTTGTGGCAGAGCTTTGGATGGATCGAATGTCCCAACGTGGATCAACTGGTCAACTTTGAAGCTCTCTTGGACAAAGTACACTTGTATGATGCTGTTCAACAAGGTTAGTGAGGGCAGATATGGGGACTTCGTTGTTGCTGCCGGTATTGCAAATACTAGTGAAAGCATCTTGTCCCGTTCCTTGTGATGAATACAACACGATGTGAACTCATCTATTATAGCAGCTGGTGAGGCAGGTGTGAGAACTGCGGGGATAGTATCTTCATCTAAATTTAGATCCTGCTGATCAATCATGGTTTGGTCATTTTTAGTGGGCGTCCAGAGCCACGGTGATCTTTCGAAGGCAGCATATCGTTTAGAGGCCTCTTTCGGGGCTCTGGTCGATGGCTTTGGTGATTGGTTCAGATCCGTTCCACTCAAGCTGGTATTGCTATGGTTGAGACCAGCCAGTTCAACGGTATCTAGATCGAAATCCCACATGCCGAAATCAAGATCTTGACTAAAGTACGAATTTCTGGGAACAAGACCAAAGTCATTGTCGAATTGTCCGTCCCCTTGCAAGGCGATGTCTCCGTAAGCGGAAAAGGTGTTGTTGAGGTTGGCGGAAGTTTGAATTTCATTGTCGTATGTTGAGTTTGATGCATGTGTGTCGTATTGGAAGTTCTTGGTTGATATGACGTGAGCGGCCAAAGTCGGATCAAGTACTGAATCTTCTGCCATTGAGTTGCTCAGATACAGACCGGATGTATCATCCATATGGTGACGATTGTCCTCGCTCGAGAAGGTTCCATTTCCCTCGAATCTTTCGTCTCTAGTGTTATCTTCCCCAACCTGGGAGCCTGATCCGAGGTTCGATCTTGATCCCAAGTTCGATGCAGCTCGTCCCCTTTTCGACTGAGCACCATCCCCAAAGATTTGGCAAGATATTCCTCTGGCCTGACACCTGGTGCAAGGTTTCTGGTCTTGACATTTCGCCTTTGCATTTACACAGGCAACACACGCGGTAGCAGCTCTATTTCCTCTCTCGATTGTTGGCCGTTCCGCAGGAGGACGATCGTGTGCTGCTTGATGGCGATTGAGTAGGTCGGCACGGTTGAAACTTTTGCTGCATCGATTGCATTTGTGTGGTCGTGCATTCTCGTGACTCTTCAGATGGCGGTTGAGATGATCTGCTCGCTCGTAGCACCGGCCGCATATGTGACACCGTCGATTGGACGCTGTTCGGGAAGGCGTCTCCTTCGGATGAGGTTCGGATGGTCGGAGAGGAGAGAGGGAATGTTCAGGGTCTGCACCGTTCGACAATTGCGTCTCACTAAACCCAATTGCATGGCATAGAAGGTCCATGACTGCTTGTGGACCGGAACGATGGCCTGACTTGTGGAGTGAGGTGGGAGTTCCGGGAAGTTAAGGGATGTGGAGGCGGGGAAGGGAGGTTGGTAGAAACTCGGCAATGTACAAGGTTCGTTCTCCCGTTGGCGATCGGCCCCACAATCTCCCCGCCTGCCCCACCCCCACTCCGCTCCGCTCCGCTCGTCCACTTTTCTCTTACGCAGCAAGCTTCCAGGGTCGAGACGCCCACTTACCGTGGACACACCAATCTAGCTTGTGTAAATTGCGTGGGGACAAATATAAACTCTCGAACACGGAGAGTGGGGTTCAGGACAACCTCATTGCCGCCAGCTGTGATTCTGATAGTGTGAATCATACTGGAGAATCGAAGGAACTAGTTCCAATCATATTCATCCATCACCATCAAGATGGGTTCCTCTACGCCAGTCCATTTCTTCTCCCACGGCTCAACAATGATGCTGGGAGAAGAATCAGCTTCCGCCACATATTGGAAGAAGTGTGGAGATGAAGCTCTTAAAAATGACGTGAAGCATGTCATCATAATGGTAAGTGTATCTCTGTGTGCCTAAAAATCTTGATAATTTCTTAACTATCTTCAGGGCGCTCACTGGGCGGCTCTTGGGGACGAAATCGAAGTTGCCGCAAATCCAAATCCAGCCAAGAGCCCCGTGGCCTATGTCCATCCTTCAAAATACGTCGATTATAAGCTCAACCCCGACCTTCCAATGGCCGATCGATGCGTGCATTTATTGAGAGCTTCTGGGCTAAAAGCCAAAAAGAACACAACTTTCGACTGGATTCACGACACTTACCTCATACTCATTCGCATGTTCCCTGACGGGTGCCCGCCAACTACGATAATCTCAATGAATGCGAGATATGATCCTCATTACCACGTGAAGGTCGGAGATGCATTATCTTCTCTCCGGAAGGAGAGCGAGAAAGTCCTCTTGATTGGCACTGGCGGAGCGGTCCACAACCTGTACCGAAACCAGTGGAGCCAAATGCTACTCTACCGTGACAATTTCGCGATGGAACATCCTCCGGAGGCGGCTCTGATGGATTTCAGGCAGGAGTTCGAGGATGCGATGACCAAGAACAGTGGCCCGAATCTGAGGCGGGCAATCACAATGTTGATGAAGATGCCAAATTACAGAGACGCACACGCGACAGATGACCATTTCATGGCTGCTTGTTTTGTTGCGGGTGCTGCGGGAAGAAAAGAAGATGAAGGAAGTAAGGCGGTATTGGGAGCTGAGGATTGGGAACTGCAGAATATGTGTAACTCGCAATATACAATCGGAAGTTGGGGAAATGGGATCACCGTTATGTAGACACTTTGTACATTTGTTGAAACAGAAGGCCATCTGCGAATTAGTATTCCGTAAGCATAGAATTATGAGCCCTTTTCAAATCGCCATTCAATAAAAATGCTGCTTTTGGCGGTGTTGGCGAAAATATACTACCCTTCACCTGGCTCTCTTCAACTTCCCTCAACACTGGAGATGTGGAAAACACTTCTCAATAAAATGCCTTTAAGCTTGAATTCTACCTAACAGCTGTTCTACTCCTTCTCTGGGACTATAGGCAATGTGACATAATTCTCCAACCCCGGTCCAAAATGAATATTATTCATCCCCGCAAATTTGCTCCTCGGTTTATCAACCTCGCTCGTGCGTGTGTTAGAAGATTCCACTCCCTCGGGTATCCCCGGAAGATGCTTCAAACACAATTCTTCCACTTTCTCAGCAATCACATTCATAGGCCAAATTTCCACATCCATAGTATATACTTGTCCAGCTTTCACCTCCTGAACATCTGGCAAGAAGTAGTTTCTATGAGGAATGTGACTCTGATTCTTGGGGTTCTTTTTGTCGACTTTGTGCATGCTGATACGTAGCCATCCTTTTGCGAGAGGAACGGGGTCACCTGCTGTACCGGTGTAGTGGACCTCGTCACCGGAAGTGGCAATGTATCGGAGAGTCAAGAAGAGGTCGATGTCCTTTTCGCCTACAGATGATGGATCTTCCGGTGCAATAGAGACACTGAGACGTGCAATGACTTTGCCAGTGATTTCCGTATTTTGATCCATCGGAGCTGTTGAGAATTGCACAAGTTCTGGCTTTTCAAGTGATCCGAGGGCTTGGCAAGATATAGTCATTTCTTGGCTTTGGGATGGTGCCGAAGTGGAGAGGGAGCCGCCCGATACTAAATGGTACTTGATGTATTGTGTTCTCGGAATCGGCCAAGCTGACTCTTCTCTGCATTCATACAATGCTTCAGCTTTGGGATTGTTGAACCCCTCGTATCCTTTTTGAACGACCATCGAGACGGGAGAGACTTTCCCAGGGATTGACCACCCAACTGTGTCCTTTCATTTGAGGAAAGCATCAAGGAATGATCTTTGAACTTCGACTTCGTCATGATAATAGAAAGGCAAATCGTGACGATCTGTGATGAATCGCAAGTGCTTAAATTGCGAGCCAGCCCAAGTATAACCCTCCATGTTACCGCGTAGGTGGAGTAAAATCCCGCCCCAATTCGCCATACTAAGGAGAGGAACTTTGATATCCTCCAAGTTGAACTCTTTTGAGGAATAGTACTCCTCATCCCGGAAACAATTATTAACATTGTCTTCGTTCTGGTCTCTCCGGTTCGCAGCGAGAATCTCAAGAGGCAAATCTCTTTCGATCGTATCTTCTCCCCATTTTAGCAGCCGCTCGGCCGGCACCTCCATACTGGTTTATGATGGCTTGACGATCCCACCAAAGCCTAATAGATGCGTCCTAGAGGATACCCCATGGCGACAACGGTCGCGGTAGTAATCTGACATCCCTTCCCAGGGGATAATGGCTGCGAGGCCTTTAGGCTGGCGTGCTGCAACTCGCCACTGGCTGCCTGCGTAGTAACTGATGCCCAGAAGTCCGACTTTTCCAGAAGACCATGACTGTTCGGCAGCCCGTTCAACCGCGTTAAAGAGACATTCGCCTGTTCCTTTCGACATTGTATCCAGGAGGCCAGGAGATTTCCCGAGACCACGCTCGTCGCTCGCACGACCACATAGCCATTTTTGGTCCAAAATATCGAGTCAGGTGTTTCCCACGCACTATATTTCGACTTATGCTCTGCGTTAACTTCGCTGAATGGAGAATCAACGAAGCTATAAAGCATCAGCGAATGCCACAGAAGAGAGATATTTTGAAGACTTTAGCATACTTCGAGTATGGTATGTTTTTCCGTAAGGACCGTAAGTTACCAAGACTGGAAACTTCTCTCCTTCAGCAATGGGTCAGTAAACATTGCACCTGATTGGAAATGTCCCAGCTCTGGGAATTGAGATATTTTTCTCAAAGAGCAATCCGTTCTCTGCGTCGTGTGTTACAAGCAGGTCTTTAATTGCATTTGTGGTTGCCATGATTGAACGGAACGAGTGGTAGAAATGAGGTTCAAGATTGAAGTTAAGACCTTGACTCTTTTCGTGGAAAATGTAAAAATATTTGAAGATTGAGACTGAAGTTATTCGTCGGGCGAGGCTGACAATCCCGCGAGTTTGGCTCAGGGATGGCGGCATGGCGGCATGGCCGAGTAGGGGGATGGAGGTGGGGCCGAAGAGGACACCCGTAAATAGCCTGGAACGGCAAGGGTTCCAGGACACCTCAAGCCGAATGTAATTTACTGTTGACTTCCCACCCAAAAGTGATAACCAGCCTGAAGATTAGGGATCAGCAGCTTGTAAGACTCTACCTTGTCTACTCTATCAGTTGTCGTCACAAACCAAAGGCACTGGAAAAGCAATGTAAATCGCACGAAAAAACGCAGCAGTATCAGGACTTAGGGAAATAAAACAACCTGATCGTTTCATGATAATATTTCATGGCCCTCACCCTTAGTTCTCAAGATGAGGGGTCCTCGCTCCATCTCAGCTTCTTGCATTTCACTGAAACCCCGTCACCATTCCCCTCCTATGGCATATCTGAATAGCCCCGGAAAGTATGGCCTAGCCGTAGATCCCCAGACCTTTGCAGCAGTCTACATGCCATTATTAGCAGCATTCCACCTGATTTTCCTAATTGTCATCGTTACTCACAGCATTCATCACAACTCCCGTGAACATAATTGTGAGGAACGCTCTCGCGAACGCGTTCTCGCCATTCGGCCGCCCCTCAACATCTCGATTTCTGTCCACCGGCCGGTAATCTGGAACGCGTCGGTGGTCTGTAGGCCAGTCTGGAGGATTTGTGGCCGCTCTCGGTGTGGATTCTGCTTGTTCCGAGGAGGACTTGTCGCCGGTGAGATGAATCTTATAGTCCTCGAGAACACCTTGCAGTTCAGTGGCTGTAGCGATTCTGCTCATGATGAAGGTTGATGTGAATTAAAGGGGCCGAGTAGCAGGAAGAACATTTGGTACTGGCCTGCAGCATGGTTTGAGGAAGTTCTTGAGCGTGAGGTCAGCCCGTCACAAATTGCCACCCCCTCGGCTCCACACCCACTTTCCGTCGACCGCCTCAAACACCCTAGATCAGCGACTAATCAGCTTTGGGTAGGTCTCACTTTGCTGATACCGCTCTTCGATAACCGGACTTAGAGCAGCTTCACTTTCTTCCCATGTTCTTAGCTCTCATAATGTCTGCAAACCTTTGATTTCCTTCGCCTCCATCACCACTCAAGACAGGATGGCTTCAGATTTCCAAACAGCCTTTGAGGTCCTCCGAGGATCCGTCACAGAAGGGAGGGCAGAGAATATGCGCTACAGGCAGAACGAGCTCTACTCTCTTCACTTGGTGTTGCGAGAGAATGCAGAGCCCATCTGTGAAGCTATCACCAAAGACCACGCCGGTCCGACCGTGAAAGCTGAGACGGAGTTCTTCTTGGCAATGGACGCCGTGCGGATATCCTACGAGAGGTTAGACTTCGATAAATCAATGGCAGAGGAATATTTTGTCAAATTTGGGAAGGACAATAGGGAAAGAAGGGCAGCTCTAGGCTTGGTTGCTATTCGACCATCAAGGCACAATCGATTCTATTCGGTCATCACCCCTCTCGTGGCTGCTCTTCAAGCAGGGAACTGTGTCATTATTGAGGTTAGATGTATTCAGTCCATTTCAAGCAGACGTACTAATACCTCACAGCTTGGTCGCTCCTCGCCAGCAGTTGATGGCGTATTGCTAGACATCCTCCCGAAAGCTTTGGATCGAGATACTTTCCACATCATCACAGACAAAATCGGAGAACAATACAAAGACCATATCAATCTTTTGGTTGACCAAGACACCTCGGAGATCTCTTCACCTGCCAAGGGTTTACAATCACCGCCGCAAGGCCGGACGGTCTGCTTTCTCGATCGGACTGGAGACGTCGAACTTGCTGCCAAGACTATCACAAGCAGCCGAACCTTACCAGATTTCTCGTCTCCGTACTCTCCAGATCTTGTGCTAGTCAATGAGTACCTCAAGGAAAACTTCATTGCTCGCTGTTTGGATTTTGCCACTCAAGTCGAACCGTCATGTCCATCCAAAGCTGCCTCATCCGACGATCTTGAGTTTCAGAAGATTCTCAAGCAGACAGAAGCTCGTGGAGAAGTCGCCATCCACAAACGAAACAATGATTTCAGCATCATTGAACTGAAGATCAGGTACAGTGTATTCTTGGTTACTCATAACGCACGTTGGCTGACATAAATGACCACAGATCTTCAAAGTTCACAACCCTCAAAGTAAAAGGCCCCTATATTCTACTCCTCCCAACCACAGGAATAGTAGATTCAGTCACACTGCAACGCTCATTGCCGACACTCCTCTCTTCCTACATTTTCGCCAGTCCTTCTGCAAGCAAATTCATTGCCGAACAAATTCCATCACATGCCACCTATATAAATCAAGTTCCACCACAACTTCTTAGTATATTAGCCCTCCCAACTATTTTTTCCAAGCTAACAAGAGAATCAGTCGGTCCACCATCCCCTACGAATCATTCACACGCCCTCCACCCTCGGTTCACATCTGATATGTTCTCGACACCCCGACCACAATTCATCACGCCTCCAGCCACTTTACCTGCACCCTCAAAACTCATGGAAATTGCTTTGAAACAACTAAAGCCAACAAGACAGAGGCCAGGGCATGCAATTGGATTTTTCGAGCAGGGAATCTTGCTCGGTTTAACTTCAACCGCTCTCGTGGTGCTTCCTCTGCTAGGTTGGGGAGCGTTCAAAGCCGTTAAATTTGGTTTGAGATATTTATGAGATAGGCATGGCGATGATATAGAAGTACGGAGATCGCGGCATAAAGTATCAAGAATACAGGTCTGCCCATTATTTATGAATTAATGCAAAATTATAAGTGGTAGGCATAACTCAACTCCTCGGGCCCAGTTATCGCAAGTCTGCATTCATACCACGTCTTTGGCCTCTGGGATAATTGAAGCTTTTGCCGGCCTTTCAAGATTGAACCACGCAACCTCAGGTTTGTTCCTATGTTTCTCTGACACAGGAACCGTAATCCAGCCCTCCTTGTCTACAAACCCATGACTCTCATACAAATGTTTCCCAAGGCGGCTCGCCTGAACAAACGCTTTCAACCCCAGATTGTCTGCAATATCAGTTCCCCATTTCACTAGCATCGAGCCAGCACCTCGGCGTTGGTGTTCTGGATGTGTTGAGAGCATGTCAATGACTTAAGTCAGTCTGTTAGTGCCTTTTCGATTCTACTTTTGAAGTGTTACGTGATTGCTCTGAATGAACATACTGCAGCAACCATCTTTTGATCTTGCTAATTGTCCTTGAGATAGAGAGTGATAAACCTCTTCACCCCAATCATTCAAGTCTTCATTAGGGAGCCAATCAAAGTGCAACTTCTGGCTCTTCTGTACCTCGGTGGGTGGCTCTTTGCGGATATGCCATTTTGCCGCGCTAATGATTTTTCCTGTTTCGGCCCATTAGGGGATATTCACTGGCAGTGCTTGAACCAAGAACAATATATCTCTGTTGATTTCCGAAAAGTATCATGGAACTTACCAGTCTTAGAGTCAATGACTTTCATGTATGTGGCCGTTGGATCACCCAGCCACCAATCAACCATTCTCTTCACCCCCTTATCTCTCTCCTCTTCTTTTGGAAACTGTAAAAAGAAACCCTGTTCACTATGTAATGAATCAAAACCCAAAGAGTAGATGTTGCTTTGGAGACCTTCTGGAGTTTGAAATATCCACTACCCACAGAAGCACTTCACTTACTAAGGGTCGGTGAATGCAGCGATGTGCATTTCTAGAATCTCGAGAGCATCTGACGGCTCAGCCTGGAGGAGGAGGAGTGATTGTTTCGTAGTGGAGTCCATGCTTCTATGCGTCTGCGCGGAATCTGAAAAGTTGGAAGAACTTATGTGAAGGAGATTGTTGGTGGTGTGCAAGTACACATGAACCGGAAGTGGGGTTTTGGAGGTTGAAAATGAGCGAAGGAAAGGCCGATATTCGGCTGATCAGGTGCCGCGCTACGACCAGGTAGGCATGCGAGGATGGCTGGCCTCCCTATGCAGGCTGGCGCAGGTTTGCAATGCACTCGACTCAACGTCCAGAGGCGTCCAATAAGGTGTGCATAGAAAGAGCGGTGAGTCTACTCGTGTAGATGATGATTTTGGACGATTCAATTGATGCATTAAAGCTATCTTTACGCCAGACACTGAAGTCCTGACTTTCCATCTGCAACACCTAGGAATGTACATTCTTTTCAGAGGTAGCACCACCCCTCCAAGGCCAACGCTTAGGCTTCCCAGCCTCGATTCTACTGATCCCTCCTGATAGTGTCCACAACTGGCCACTTGTATGCATATCTGCCATACGTCATGTAGTACACAATGCTGAAAAGCACTGTCGCTCCGAAAAGGAGGCAACTCCAGTTCATAGTTACAGGATTAACAGTTACTGTAGATGGAAAGAAGCTAAAGAACAGTGCAATGACAATGTATCCCAAACCCACCGCGTTCACAATTGGTCCGAGAACTGGCCCCATATGCCAAGGTCCCCAGTGGAGTTTGTCCTTGTCTGGGTGATTCCGAAGCCGTTTGTGCAGAATGAGGGCGATGGGTACCATGTAAGAGGCCATAAAACCTGCTACAACCATGCTTATGATCGCGTTGAAAGCGGCGGTGCTTCCAATATTTATGAGAGCGAGAAGAAAGGCTATGATAGCGCTGACGAGAATCGAGTATAAGGGTAGGCCGGTTGTTGGGTGGACCTATTTTCAGAATGAATCTCAGTTTTCAAAGTCTCGAGAAATCCTAGAAGGAGTAGCTGAGTTTTGCAAAACTTACGCGACTAATGTAGCTACTGAAAGGAACGGCATTGTCTCTGGCGAATGACCAAAGAAGACGAGAAGCAGTGGCCATACCCCCGCTTCCTGACGCAGCCAAGAGAAAAAGGATCAGGCACGTCATAATCGTAGCAGCCGTGTTACTATTTGTAGCTTGGGCAAAGATTTCAATAAAGGGGAATCCGGTAGGGGTATTTAGTGCTGCATCGATATCCCCGAGGCAAAACAGAAGTGCAAGCAAGAGTGCCAGCCCGAGAACTCCGTTGACCATTATCGTTGCGACTATGGCCCAAGGAACAACTGTCGAGGCATTGTAGACCTCTTCAGCCACTGTGGAGGGCCTCAGAGTTAGCATTACTTCTTCAGGGTGAATATAGGAGTCCCAGGTATGGTTCAATAGAGGCTGGGAGGTTTGGGGAGGCGAATCATGTTTCGTAGCTCCTGGAATATAATCCGGCGAAGAAAAATCTTGGAGAATACATACTATGGTTTGCGCTGTCAGCTCCTTGGTCGAAGTCAGTAGAGCGTCATCTTTTGGGCGGAATTGAACGTTACCGGTGAAAGTGTAGACACTAGCAATGATACCAACAAAAAAAGACAATCCGTCGCTGCTCCAGCCTCCTCCATTAATAAAAGTTGCAAAGACATCTTTCGCAGAGCCATGAGGACCCAGATATACCAACGGAATGAGGACCGCGAAAAACCCAATCACATGAACGCAGAGAAATATACCTTCAACTTTGGGAAGCCATCTCGCCAAGAAAGTGTTTATGAAAACCATAAAGGCTAAGACGAAATAATAAAGGAGTGTGCCTTGCCACCGGGTGGGTGTGTAAGTGGGCTGGTTAAGGATGATTAGTCCTTGGATAATTGTCGCCCCGAGGAAAGCTATGGAAGCTTGGGCGGCCTCCCAGGCAATCACTGTAAGCCAACCTTTCACAAAAGTCAGTGTAATGTTTGAATTCGTTATCGCCTAGTTTTACCTGTAATATAGCTGAGGAATTTCGCTGTGCTAGGCGGCGCTAGAATGGAAACCCAGTGGTATTGCTGGCAAGCGGGTCAGCATGCATACAAAATGGAAACCTCTTCGGGTACTAAAGAACATACCCCACCTGCTAAGGGCATCCTAAGCGCTCATTAGCTTTTTAAAATGCAGTATCTCGTCCTTGACATACATTGAAGCCATCTCTGCCAATGAAGCCATCGCGGCGAGTGTGCCACTGGTGGGTCCAAGTTAGTGCCAGGCCAATAAGTCTCGGGACGGATTCATCCTAAGAACAGAGAAGAGTCGAAGATGAAGGGTCGGGAGGGCTTATACACCCAGCAGAAAATGTAACCATAGACCAGACCCGCAGGACCACCATTCTGAAATCCGTAGAGAAAGACACTAGGCAGAACAAGTCAGCTTTAGCAATAACACAAATCCAGAGTGGATCGGTCTCAGAACTTACGCAAACATTACTTCCCACGTTGCCAAAAGACTGCAAATAAATCCGACGATAGATAGAAACCCGAATCTCCGCTACTCTTCATCAGTCTCGAGATTTTCGGGAGCTGGACCATGCAGTACACGTACCTTGAGCTGTGCTTTCTTTCCATAGAATGCCATCTCTCCTTCATCTCTGGTCATATTCCCTCCAACATATAAGTTTGAAGTTGCAGCCCCAGCCTGGTCGGCAAGCTCCAGGTCTCCGACGGAGTCCAGAATCTTATCATCCATTTCGAAAGCTGCTTCCAACGACAAGAGAGAAGATGAGAAATCGCGCTCACTTGGCGAAAAGTAGTGAGCTTCCTCAGCGAATGCACTTCGAGCTTTCGATTGATAAACAAAGAAATCAAATCCGTGGAGGAGGAACATATGAACTGGGAGGAGCTTCTATCCCAGTCCATGCACCCCGCGATGCGACCAAAAATAGGGTGGGAATGTCCGATACGGAGGGCAAATGCGATCAAGAAACCTGATTGGCAGTTCCTCCACATGGGTTACTTTCTTAATTCGACTTGAGTCAGTCAATGCCGGAAAATGAGCCCAGCTGCATGGCTTGCAGGGTCCACTCTCAAATGCTACCACTGCCAGGGTGTCCGGATATGAACCATCGCGAACGGGAAAGCCCCAACTTGATCTGAGTCTATCGTAGACGCCAAACACCTCATCAAAATATTCTCGCGCCGATGGTTCAACGCCAGAAGACTCTGATACTTGGGTTTGGACGATTTCCATTTGCGGTTTGATAAAGATATTAGATCCCACCCTTTCTGCACTTCAGTCTTCATCCTCTGAAGCGGTCCAAAGGCACCCTCTTCCAGAACGGAGTCAATATGCATACACGGGCCACCATCCGGCGCACCCTTGGCTGAATCCGGTTCGGGGCCACATAGCAACTTGGCCCGCCCCCTGCCCGGGGCACATTTTACTGAATCCGGTCGGTCCGCACGCCAAATTTGACCCGCCCCCGTCCGAAACACATCTCCCGCTCCAGCTCGCCATCGCATGGCCAAAGCGCCCAAATTAAGACTAAAGGAAACCTTCCAATGAGATCCCATTCATGCACAATATCCAAGGTCGAGTACGAGTACGGTCTTTAGCATGCACTACAGAACAATCTTATCATCTACCGTAGTTGGATATATACAGTAAAATCTTGCTATAAGGATAGGGTTTTTATCACCCTTTCATAAAGATATACCAAAGTATCCTAATCAAGTACCAAATCACCGCAAAAATTCGCATGCGGACTGAAGGATTGAATCCTTATCATGGATATCATTATCCATTGGGCTGGAATTGGTCCATGCGCACCTAAATCATATCTCTAGATTCCTTGATTTAAGACCTCTGATTTTCTACAATTTTGCAGTATTTGATCACGGAAATTTCCACTGGGTGGCAGGCTGGCAGCGCAATAGATACGAGGCATCCTTACAACGAGGCTCTAATGTAACACAGAATACCCATTCTTGTGGCTTTGCGCATGAGCCTTATCCAGACTGTCGGGTCAGGAGCGGTTCCCAAACAGTCCAAACAGGAGAGTGAGACAAGTTCAATCTTATTCATGGACCTCCCTGCAGAGTCCTATTGGCGAATTGACTCGAGTCTCTCGACCTCACTGCTACGGTCTCAAAATCAAAATAATATTTTGAATTGCTTCTTTCATTTAAGTCGTTCGAAGGCACTGGAGAGCATGTTGTGTAACGCCGGAGGTGATTGCACTGCCACAAGGCTATATTAATCACAGTTTTCGATTTGCGGACCTCTCGGCGCTTGCGACTTGCCTTGGATCGGTTTGGATGTCAGCGCAGATCAGCCCAGGGTCGACTTAATTGGGCCGAAACCAATTTCTTTTTGAACAAAGAAAAAGGCAAACTAGATGCCGGTTGTGTGTTGTAACTTCTGTCAGAGGTTTTGTCGTTGTCTTGCAGCTATATCACTAATGGGAGTCCAGAATCAACATGGCAATCATAGTTTCAGAAATCAACGAAGGGCCCGTTGCGAACATCGCTGCCTGGTTTGGCACGACTGTAATGATACTCGGCGTATGTACACGTATTTGGAGTAAATACAGTGTCCTTCGGAAATGGACCATAGATGACGCCTTGATTATTGTTACGATGGTAAGTATCCTTAACGTCGACGGACTTGCAAGATGTTGGGCTAATTATTCTGATGTAAGTTCTTGGGCTCTACAATGACCGCCACTATTTCAATGACAGTCGCAAACGGTTTGGGCCAACCGCAATCATCTCTGAGTAACTATCAAATTATAGAGTTCCAAAAGGTAATTTGCTCCGCCTTGTGATTTCAGATGGCGGACTTGTATATCGCGATTCAACCCCGCCTAACAAAGACATAACTTACATTTGAGTAGTATGGCTATGCATCACAGCTACTTTACATTCCGGCTCTTTGCCTCACAAAACTGACCACACTTGTTTATCTTCGCGCTCTGTCACCAGAATCACACTTCGAAACTATGAATACGCTACTAGAAGTCTTCATTATAATTTGGGGTCTTAGTGCCGAGTTTGCGATTGCCTTCCAATGCCAGCTACCTTCACCGTGGGCCATTATTTCCGGGAAATGTTTTAATACGGTATATTTATCCTCCCATGTACTAACCTGCGATTATTAACATCTCGGCAGGCTGCCTTCTGGAAGGCCAATGGCGCTTTTGACATACTAACGGACGTCATAATCGTCTTTCTTCCATTGTATCTTGTCTGGCCCCTTCAGATGCCTTGGAAAAGAAAGGGTATAGTTGTTATGGCCTTCGGAAGTCGAGTCCTGTAAGATATGCTTTTCCGACTCTCCGAGAGTCATAAACAACCTCCTAACTAGGCCATTAGAGTTATCCCGTTCACAGCTTGGCGAATCTACTCTCTGTCTACAACCAGCTCTCGCGATCAAACTCTCTCGCTGTATCACGGCTACCTAACCACTAGCATACAACTTAACTTTGCTATTTTCATGTCCTGCGTGTCATTCCTCAGACCCTTTCTGGAAAGCATGGTCTCCGGTGGCATGGCAACTACCGTCCACTCAATGAGTGCTTCCTATGCGAAGAGCAGCAAACTCAGTTCTCTCTTTTCCACCCGCTCGGGCCGCTCCGACCCCCAAGATTCCAAAATGAAACCGTCCTATCGAATGGAGAGCTTGAGCGAAGTGTTTTTGAACAACAGCTCGGGTACTTTCGGGAAACCTGAGTCGAACACCAACAGCTCGCACAGAGATGTTCCCTCAATGAATAACGATGAGATTCAATTCGAGACCGCAAATACGCCTTAGTGAATCTTTACTAGACGCAGGCGCTCTTAGGCCTACAAGTCGGCGATGGCGTGGATAATTGAATATAACGACTGAAGTATGCCGCTTTTTGAATGTGTTAAGTTAACTGGAGAGGGTTTTCGGCCGCGAGTTCTTGGAGGACTAGTTTTTGGAATCACTTTTGAGGCGAAGTGAGGCGGTGCAGATTTGCACTTCACATTTATACATGACCGGGGAACCCTATTAATCCGGGACATGATTTGCTTTCAAGGTTTCAACGAGACTGAGAATGCTTGTTGGTTATCACTCGAACTCTGTCGCTGGCTCTCCACCCAGCCGGCCATCGGATTTAAACGTCAGGGCGAGATGTTGACCGTACACCCGGGGAGTAGCAAACCAACTCTAACTGTCCGAACTAAGCGTCAAGAAATCAGTCTGCTTGACCCCGACTTTGCAGATGTGCTGAGAAGTAAGTCTCTTGAAGCATTACAAGAAAACCCAGATATTTGTAGCTAACTGCTAGAATGACCAGGGTCTGAAATGCCAAAACGGCAGCCTTCGCGCACATTTCTTGACAGTGAAATTGAGTTCAACGCTATGTACCCAGCTCTCTACCAAGATGGACGACTCCTGCGTGGCAATGGGTAGTGTCGTTCTTGCTGCTACGCTGTAGGAGGTCGCCGACTGAGATGTGCTGCATGGGAAAAATTCTCAATAAGGGCGCTTAGAATACTTTTGCCGGCCCTGGAGGACCCGTTAGAGATGACTTAGAATCTTGAGACTCCATATACTTAGCGGATGAGGCTAAGAGAACCTACCGAAGATGAAGATGACAGAGATTCGTGAAGGCATGGTTGTTGAGCTCTTATTAAAGTGGACCGGAGTTTATATATTCGGGGCAGGCTCTTTCCTCTATAGTCGATCCGATCCAAAAGCAACAAAATAAAAAAAGTCTACCAAAATACTGATATAAATCGTATTAATCGAAATTATTATATATCTTGTAGTAATTAATTCCCTGGTCTCCGATTTTTAATACCTTTAATATTACAAGAGTTATAAAGCATGTAATTATTTTTATATAAGCTTATATAGAAATTTTTGTATTTTATAAAAGTAAAAAAATTATATCTCATATAATATATAAAGCTATATGTAATTAAAACTATATTCTTTTAATACTTTATATTTTCTTTAATAATAACTATAATATATATAGAACTATATATAATTTAAGAATATATAATAAATCTCGGATATTACAAGTATTAATTAGGGAAATCAATAGCCCTTTAATATTATAACTAACTATTATTTATATTATAAGAATTAGGCTTATAAATTACTAATTATATATATATTATTAGGGCCTCTTATTTAGAAGAGGCTTTTCTAGACCTTATAAGAAGAATAGAAATTAGTTTTATACTAAATTTAATACTATAATTTTATAATTTATTAATTTATTTTATTATCTTATTATTTACTAATAAATATCTTATAAGCTAATTTCTCTATCTTTAAAAGAAATAGTTTAATAAGTAATTATATCTCGAAATCTGTAAAATATATAACTCTTTATTAAAACTATTTCTATAAAAGAAATTAACTAGATTAATTCTAATATAAATAATAGTAAAGGTTTATCTAATACTTTTAATAGAACTCTTTAGAAGCTTCTAAAAGCTAGTAATAATAATAGAAATAATTCCGGTAATAATTGAAATACCGAAATTAATACTCGAATTATTATTATCTAAACTATAAAATAAAACTTATATATTAAAGTTAAAATACTTTAATAAAAGCAAGAATTAGTAAATATAATTAATTAATATATCCTATAATTAAAGTAATATAAGAATACTTTTAGAGATATCTTATAGTTTATTATATCTTATAAAAACTCTATTTATAAGTTTATCCTATTTTCTTTAATAGTTTCTATTAGAGAACTTTCTAGAATAGAATTAGAATTTATTTATTTTTCTAATATAATAAGCTTTAAAAATAATCTTAATACTATTTATTAGAAGCTATTATATAATATCCTAAAGATATATTTAAACTAAAAGAAGCTTTTTAAAGTCCGGATACCTGATTTATATTATAGAAAATTCCTTAAAAAATAAAGAATATTTATATTTTTCTAGAAGGCAATTTTTAGAACCTAACTTTAGACTTATAATAAATACTTTTCTAGAATTAACTCTATTATAAGTACTTTAGAAATAAATACCTTAATAAAATACTAGTTCTATTTCAGATATAGTTTATTAGATTTATAAATAAAAAGAATACTTTTCAGAAAATATAAAATATTTCAAATATACTAAATAGGCTTAGTAAAACCCTAATAAGGCCAAAATTATAAAAGAGTTAAAGTATTTATAAAAGCAGATTAATACTATTATTATAAAAAAGTATTCTAAAAGAAATTCTTTTAAGAAATAAAGAAAAGAAAAAACCAAATATTAAATATTAATAATTTTAGCTATAATAAAAAAGATATATTATTTTATATAATTATTTAAATAAAATTAATATGGCTAGAAATAGATACTTTAGAAATATATAATAGATTTAGTAATACCGAATTAGATTATAATTTCCTTAATAATAATTAGATTTAAAGCTAGAGCTTTATTACTTTAGTTAAATATAATTAAGAATTTATAATCTTTTATAAAAACAGATTTAAGGTTTATTAAGCTTATAATTTTAACATATTTATTATAGATAATTATAATAAGATATATATTTTTAAGTTCTAGTTTTATAAATATAAAAATATTAGTTCTTTATAACTTTATTTTTAATATAGAATTTTATAAAGTAATTCTTATATAATATATAGATTATATTAAGAAATAATAGACTTTATATATTTATAATAATTACTAGATTTCTATTTTATTATATAGTTCTAGTAATACTAAATAAAAGTTTTTAATATAATAAATTAATACTTTCTAAAAAGAAGCCTTAGAAATATTTATTTATTTCCGAAATAATAAATATAAAAATTTCTTAAAGGTTTTTAATTCTAATAAAGCTTTAGAATTTCCCAATTTTAATAGTATTAAATACTCTATTAATATAAATAACATAGTTCTATATAGACCTTTATATAATTTATTAGAAATCTAACTAGAAATATTATATTTATATTTATAAAATATATTTTATAAATATTAGATAAGGCCTAATAATAATCTAATAGAAATACTTATTTTTTTTATTTCCATAAAGAATAAGGAACTATATTTTTATATTAATTATTATAGACTTAATTAAGTTATAATTAAGAATTAATATTTATTTCTTTTTATTAATAAAATATTTAATTAGCTTTATAAAGCTAAGATTTTTATAAAATTAGATTTTAAGAATATATATTATTAGATAAGAATTTATAAAAAATATAAATAAAAAATAGCTTTTAGAATCTATTATAGCTATTTTATATATTTTATAATATCTTTTAAGCTAGCTAATATATTAGCTATATTTCAAATATATATTAATATTATATTTATAAAACTTTTAAATTATTTTATAATTATTTATTTAAATAATATTCTTATTTATTTTTGAAATAAAAATAAATATTATAATTATATTTACTAGATATTTATTAGATTATTATAGTATAGCAGGCTATATTCTCTAAAAATTATATTATTTTAGTATTTTTAAGGTTTTAGTTATATAGTAAAGACTATAGCCTTTTATATATAACTTATAGAAATTATATAAGAAAGCTAGTTTTTTTATAGTTTTAGAAAATAATTCCTTTTTAATATTTAATTAATTAAGCTTTTATATACTATATACTATTTATACTTTATTATTTATACTTTTAATTTATTATTTTATTATTAAGTTATATTTTATATAGATTTTTATATTATTATAATTTCTCTTTTATATATTTTATAATAAGTAATATAGAAAAGATTAAAACTTTATAATTAAGGTAATATTTTTATAAAGTTCTAAGAAATATCTATAAGGCGAATTATTAGCTTAGTAAATTTAGGGGGAAAAAAACTATTATAATACTTTAAGCTTAAGGCCAAAATATTAAAAATATATAAGTATTAATTTTAATATCTTATATTAATTTCCGATATATCTAGTAACTTAAATATAAATTAATTATAAGATATAATTACTAGTATAATATATAGAAATAATAGAAATAAAGGCTAATTATAAAAGGAAAAAAAAAGGGGGAAATAAAATAAGAAAAATTATACTAAGATAATATAAATTAGATCTTAGTTAGAAATAGACTTTAGTACTTGGAAATAAAATTATATTATTAATTTATATATTATTTTTAGTAAAAAAGCTTGCCTCTAAATCCGGAAAAACTATCTAAAAGAAGAAATATTCTTAATTTTAAATAGAATAATAAATAGAAACCGGAAATAAGAATTGAAAAGAAATCGGAAATAAGAAATTATATAAATAATTTAGGAAAGCTTCTAGAAAAAGAAAAGAATATTAAATAGTAAAAAAGAAAAGAATTCAGAAATATTAGAAAGATTAGTAAAATTATATTTATTATTTTTATTATTACTTTTAATAATAATATTAAGAAAAGATATTATAAATATTAAGCTAATAAAATAGAAAAGAAAGTATAAATAATAGAAATAAAACTAGAAAAGCTATTATCTTATTACTACTAATACTAAAACTCGAATCTTAATTATATTTATTATTATTAATTAGTTTCTCTTAAATCCCGG